AAAGAGAATCAGTCAGTTCATTTTCCTTATATTGCCACCATCTGACACTAGTTAGGTCTTTGGAGGGTTTGCAGAGCAGACTATCATTATGAGATTAGTGGATATGTGAAAAGTTTATACACTGACATGTTCTCTGCATCTGCTGTTGCTACATCAGCTTCTTTGTTGAGCCTCTGAGCTGACAGGCCAACGACTAAAACCCCTTACAGATCATAAGAAAGCAAACACCGTTTTTAGATGTAACTTTAATATTCGCATTATGGAACTAGAGCTGCAGGGCATATAACTTTTTTAAAGTGGCCTACAGTAGTACTCAACCCTCTTTTTACAGATTTTCTTACAATAATTTTTTATACATCTATTCCCGCTAAGTATATAAAATCAGATGCAATAGATTACAACACTGTTACCATTTCCAAAGTGGCTGACCCTCATAACATTTTTCCTTTAATGCCTCTGAAAGAGAACGGAGAACACCAAGCTCAGATCCAAAGAGCTGGCTGAGCCCTTCACAGGGCAAATTAAGTACTTTTTAAGTCTGGTAAATGATTTAAAGAGGGAACAGCAGACTGAAATCAGCTGTCAACAAGAAAAGCACATTCAAAACAACTGCCATTAATCAGTGGAGCCATTTCAGGGGAAACAGCAAGGACGAGTCTAAGGACCCCTGACTGATACTGGCCCTATGTGAAATCAATATATATTATAAATATCCAAACCTAGTCATTAAATTACTGATATTTTCATATTTACTTTTTTTATAAAGATAAATGTTCAAGCCTTGTTAATAACAATTAACAAACCATCCACATCCATATTGAGTTACATTTGTCTTTATATTACCGGTAAATAAAATTTTAAAAAGCGATCATGAAAACAGTAAAAATCATTTTAAAAGCTAAATTATACATATTGGTGAGAACAAAGTTTGATAGCAAATACCGATGTTATTTGAGACTAAAGAAAAGAAATTGAAATTTGGAAAATAGTTTCCAAGGGAAAAAGGCTTTCACGGAAATATATTTTTACTCTCAAATTGTGAGGTTTTTCTGCAATAAGAGTGAACATAAAAAAAAAATAAATAAAAATCGATTTCACTTTCAACTTTTTTCTTCTCTCACTCTCAAAACCTAAATATTTGCTCTCGATTCAGGACCAATTTGTATTTCCAAAAGAATGATTTAAAAGCTAAATTAGAAATGGCTATTTTTCTTTTTCAGTGATTCTCCTGGTCCTCCGTAGTTTTACACTTGTCTT